GCCTAAATAGAATAGCAAGGAGCATAATATTATAATTTAGTCCAATAAATGAGACTGAGACAAAAATAATAGATAAAATTACCATGGAAAATATTGCAATAAACAATAAAGAAAACACACAGCAAATCACAAAAAACTAAACGACAAGAATTACAAATACTAGACAAAATCAAAGAATCCTAAATGAAAATAATGAAATAGCCAAAGCCGAAATGTAAACAAAACAATTGAAGGAGCAGCTGACAACAGCATTTTTGAAATACGCATGCGCTGACATAAAATCCGCAACAAATATCGCAGAATATTAAACCAATTCCAATTTTCCCGCCTCCTAAATTTCAAATTTTGCGAATTCGCAAAATATTGAACTCTGACAGATGTCCCTTTTCATGACAGTGGACTGACCAATAGGAGCGGCCTCCGCAATTCGTGATTCGCATCTATATGAACTACGCTTTACAATCTTCCCTCTATACTAGACTCATTTATGGTGGTTCAATATCAGTCGTGGCGTGACGTGAGCTGATCGTGGACTAATCGTTCTACGACTCAAGAGTGAACCACGAAAACGTGGACCGTGGATTCACGATCAGTGTAAACTACCCTTAACCTTAATTTACGAACAGTTGACGTAACTGGAAGCGGCCATGTTAAACGTAACTTTTCCGCGCGAAACTTTTCAATTTAAAACTAATAATTGCCGTATGACTACAATATCGATAAATTCAACGCAAAACTGCTCATATTCAATATTTTACAGAAAAAGGTGCACCATAAAAACTTATTTTTTTCTCATGAAAATTCCCTATTGGAAGCCTAAGAGAAAGGTACCAGATCCTGAAATCATTGCTAGTTGTTTTTTTTTTTTAAGACTTTTGGGTGTTTTCTTGGGATAAAAAGTGAAAAATATAATATAATAATAAATTAAATCAATACTTGCTAGTGGGGAAACAATCAGGTCTTTAAGGAGTGAACAGGTATCAGGAGATAACACAAATGAATCCATGAAGTCTGAGGTTTTAATTAGAAAAATAACAAATGACACGGTTGGTCAATTAGAGAACCGCACGTACAACAAACTCAGTGGAGTAGCTCAAATTATTCTTGATTCTAATAAAGAACTTATCAACTTTAGGTTTACTAAAAAGCCTGAGAATTATGCTAATGCCATCAGGAAATCACCTGCCCAACCTATTCAAAGAACGAGCAATATTGGTCCGCTTCCTATTTCTATTACTACTCAACAAAACTTTTCGGCAGCGGCAATATCTGCCAAAGCATCTTTCATCACCGGCACTAGGAAACCGGAGAGAATATTAACCATTTCTGCTGCAGAGCTAGTGCCCAAAACAGCAGTTTTTGTCCGAAAAGTCTCGACCACCGTCGGCGAGGCTAATTTCACATAATACTTAACAGATACATTTGGATCTGACCACCAATTCAAGGTACAAGAATTTCCATCTAGATCTGGCGAATACAAGAGTTTTAGGGTTGAAGCGGATAAAGGATTAGAAGACAAACTGCTCAATGCCAGCAATTGGCCCATGAATATAGAGATTGGCAAATTTTATTCCTTTCGTCACAGACCTCCAGCCACTCATCAGACTAGATTTTTCAGAGGTACGCAGCCTGGGCGGGGTCAAAGGCACTCCCACAACCACAGCCCTCAACTTAAGACCACCCCATCTACTCTTAATTTATACTACCAAAATATGGGTGGCCTAAGAACAAAACACAAGAACTCTTTAGAAATTCTGTAATTTGGACTTCATAGTCCTCACTCAAACCTGGCTAAATTCCTCTTTCAACAATTCTGAATTATTGCCTTCCCTCTACACAATATTCCGAGCCCATCGGGATTATGCAGCAACCAACATGGATCGAGGAGGGAGAGTTTTAATAGCGCTAGACAGCAACTTTCAGTCTTCGCTTATACCGACTGCAAACTTTATTGAATTTGAACAAAAATGGATCTGCTGTATCTGTCACGGCTGTGAGATGATGATGGGATCAGCATACATCCCTCCAAGTTCCCCTGAGAAGACTTACAGGTCATTTGTAACAGTATGTGAATCATTGGAAAACAAATATGCAAATGCCAGTTTTATCATATTCGGCGACTTCAATCTTCCGAATGTCAACTGGATCACAGAGGATGATTTTCTGGTACCCGAATCTACACACTCATTGGCCGAGCAAACTCTGATAGATAGTATGTTCTTCACGGAACTTGAGCAACTTAACAATGTGAAGAACAGCTACAAATAGATCCCTGGATCTCATTTTCGCAACTGAAATTTCTCTTCCTGTGATCAAAACCAGTGACTTTCCACTGTGTAGGGTGGTTGATATACATCCACCTCTGGAGCTTAGTTTCTCTAGTGCTAAAAGCCGAGGATCCTGCTACTATCTACCTTTTTAAACAAGCAAACTATACGGAACTGAATAATTACTTCAACAGCATTGACTGGAATCTGTGCTTACGTAATGGCGACTCTTATGTAGCGGTTGCTAGTTTGTACGAAATTATACAGCAAGGAATTATTCAGTTTGTTCCCAAAAAAAACATCAGAGTAGACAAATATCCTAATTGGTTCAACTCTGAGCTAAAAAAGTTAATTGCACATAAAAATCGACTCTACAAGAAGTACAGAAAATCAAGACGGCAAACGGACTATGAAGCTTACTCTGAAGCCCGGAAAGACGTGAAGTACCATAGTGATATGTGCTACCTGTTACATGTTACCAAAGCTCAGCATTTGATTCCGTCAAATGTGAAACACTTCTGGTCATTTATAAGATCTTTAAAGAGAGATGCCGGCTTGCCGAATCAGATGCATTTTAACAATATCCGTTCTTCGAACCCTCAACAGATTGCTGAACTCTTTGCTACACACTTCAAGAATTGTTACTCTGACCACAAGGATGTTGAGATCAAGGAAGACTACTGCTCAGTCCCTTTTGGACCTTACCTCTCCGATTATCTTTTCACGGCCGAGGAAATACAGAGAAAAATTCTGGATCTTGATACCTCAAAGATTCCTGGACCAGATGATCTCTCCCCAGTGTTTCTTAAAGGCTGTTGCACATCTCTGAAGCATATTTTCCAACTTTCTTTTGATACTGGCATTTTTCCCAGAAGTTGGAAAGTCTCAACACTTTTCCCTATCCATAAATCAGGAGACAACACTGATGTGAATAATTATAGAGGCATATCTCTACTATCGCACATTCCCAAAATTATGGAATCCATTCTAACAGACGATGTGTACTCATGCTTTAGTAACTACATTGCTAACGAACAGCACGGCCTCTGCAAGGGAAAATCCACTGCTACAAATCTTTCTGTCTATTAACAGTTCCTAACGAAAGCTTCGGAATCAGGAAAACAGGCGGACGTGATCTTCACGGACATTTCAAAGGCCTTTGATAGTGTGTGCCATAAGTTGTTATTAAAAAAACTCTCAGATATGGGCTTGGGTGCACGTTTCTTAAAATTCATAGAATCGTACTTAACGGAAAGATATCAGAGAGTCGGTGCGTGCGGTGCAGTATCCCACAAGTTCATAGTTCCATCCGGGGTCCCTCAGGGATCACACATCGGACCGATTCTGTTTGTTCTCTTCATAAATGACGTCATCCAATACTTCCAATCATCCCTCTGCTTACTATACGCTGACGACTTGAAGTTTTTCGCAGTTGTGGACGAGCACTCTACCTCTCTGCAGTCGGATTTGGACAGGTTGGCCGCTTGGTGCAAAACAAATCTACATCAACTTCTGTTAAATATTTTAAATTATGATCATACAACAGATTAACGATCAGACACATAAGTGATCATGTGGTGATCAGACAAGAGGACCAGTGGGTGTCACCTGCTGAACCAGCTTTGGTGTCAGATAGATAGTCCAGAAAACGTTTCTAAAGTGTGCCTTTAAACCTTATTTTATTCGTTCTATTATATTAGTTTAGATCTTGATTGTAACTTTTGTAATAAACAAGATATAAAGGATTTTCTCTTCGAACATTAAATAATACATTCATTCTTGCTCGATATTAAATTGATTAATGATACGAATTCTACACGCCCCGTGGATTCCAAACCGGAATCCACGGCCTGTCGACCAATCAAATTCTCCATATTTTCGGGATACACGGGCCGCAACGAGACAATACAAACAAAACATGACTGACGTCTGCTGTCAGATCACGAAACTTTCAATTAGGCAATTCAATCCATCTGTCAAAAAGGAAAATTCAATATGGCGTGGCGGCCAAGCAAGTTTGTTTTGAATATGTTTTTATGCGTATTTTAAATTATTTTGCATACAGTTTTGGTTACAACTTTGATTTTCATTATTTAATAAAATATTTGTTGACTAGGTACCTAAACTATTAATTCGTGCAGAAACTAGATATTTTTTTGTGTTTTTGGCCCATGTGTGGCCGCCACGCCATCTTGAATGTCACGTGGTTTGAATTGCCTAATTTAAAAAAAAATAAGGCGGGTTTAGACTTTTGATGATTGTTATTTTTTACAAAAACTAATGATTTTCTTTCAAAAAGTTCGAAGAGAAAGTATAGTCTTCTACTCGCAAATAATGGCTATTATTAGCCATCATTATATGCTCGTTGAAGAATATACTATTATAAATGGCACTTTTTTCTTTTTTGCCTTGTATATCCGTTCCTATTCCGAGTTCGAAGAAATTGATGACAGATTATTTGTAGGCACTTGATTGAGCAACTTTTTCCCCACTGAATCCACCCTGTATCTTCAATGGTTTCTAAAATCCCCATAAACTTACTTCAAGTTATGCCAGTCACCCAGTATACAACCCATAAAAATAAAAGTAACCTCTGCAATGAAGTAACCAAACATCGTGTTTCCACAGCAACCAAATAAAGTTTGATCATTATACTCTGACAATTGTATTGACGTAACGCCAATTTCAAAAAAGTACAAAAAAAAATTCAAGTACATTTTCACAAAATTTAAAATGACAGACATGGATTGCAAATGTAAAATTCCGTATTATATTCTTGCAATTAACTGCCAATCAATAAAATGTATTCTAGGTCAAGTCGAACAAAATAGTGAAGCAAACGACACGGACATTTCCCATTATTGTCTCGATGATTATGAAAAATCTTTTGCTCAAATCGTTGGTTGTATAGAGAATATCGTTATCAGTGATGAGTTTTTGGAAATTCAAAACACATTTTTCGACAAATATTACAGTGAGTTTGTGGACGTTGAAGAAAATCGATTGATTTACATGGACATTTTCAAGCAATATTTGGACATTGTTGAGAAGTATATTGAGAAGGAGTTAGTTAAAAATATACCAGCTTTTGATATAAGGATGTTTGAAATGGAGTTAAAGTGAGCAAATTCACTGGTTTCTTATTCACATACCTATGTATTTTTTTTGTCTATTACAGGCTAAAACCTAATGAATTGGATGGCGAAATTTATGAAATGTTATCCTCATTTTGGGATTTTGCTGTTTTTAAAAATATGTTCTTGGAATATAAACAAGTAATTTTACCTTCTAGGATTAACAACTAAGCTATTCTATGATTTTTTTTTAGATGAAGGAAGGTAAAGCATTGGACTTGACTGGAAATATTTGGGTGAAAAAATACGATTTTCAATAGAAAAAGAAGATATTTATTCCAATAGAAAAATTAAATTAATGCATAAGAATTTCCAGTTCCAATAAACCAAAAAAACATATTTATTCCAATGGAAAAATTAAATTAATGCATAAGAATTTCCATTTGCACCAATTTGGCGTTAGTGTCTCCTGGCAAACGATAGGGTAGCATTCCGGCAAAATTAGTCAGAGTTTTTGCTTGTTGTCTCAGCTTGGACAAATCCTGGATTTAAAAAAATACATGTAGGAGAACTTAAATTCTTAACTCAATTAGTTTATATTAAAAAATGCTCATAGACACCCAAATTGTGCCTAATTTCATAGTATTGTACCAGAATTTAGATAAAATTAAATAAATAGATATTTAGGAAACATGAATGAGCATACAAATTTGATAACATAAATCGAGACAAAAATATTCAATAAATCTTACCGTTTCTATAGACGATTCATTAATATACCTTGCCCCTTCATATTTGGCTCTTATCCTCTGATATTCAACAAAATAGATGTTCATTGTAGCCAATAGCACATCTGGTATTACTTTAGAAACTTCAGCAGTGAGAGCTTTGAAGCCTTTTATACGATCGCTTACTTCTTCTTCGCGGAATGGTATTAGCTGGAGATCCTTCAGGACCTGAAATTAAACCAATTGAAAACCTATTTTTTTCTATATTCAAAAAAATTCTCTTACCACCAAAGCTCGAAGATACTCTTTAAGAAAATACAAATCAAAGAAAGTAATCAAATCTTTGAGCTTCAAAAACGAGCTGACCAAAGCAGCAGGGCATCTATATCCTGTCGAAGAAAATCTTTCAGCAAAAACAATAGCCTTTTGATGAAGACTGGATCGTAATGAGTCTGGCTTGCTTTTTAGCTGAACCACTTGGGACATCAATGTACACATAAAACTTAAAATCTCTTCTTGGTCATTTGCAATATCGAAAATATCAATGGATTCCTCCAACAATCCCTTTTTAGACAAACTCTTGCCAATAATTTCAGCTATACTGGCTGCAGTGATATCTGAATTAGCAAACTGATCGATTAGGCCCTCACTCCTGCGGCCATCAGGTTGAACTTTTCCCAATATTTTTTCATATTCTTTAGTCTCCATTGCCAAATCGGCCACACATACTTTAAATACATTTTCCCCTTGAAAATCAGTGTAGTTTCTTAAAAAGAAGTAATAATGCAAAGCTTCGTTTTGACATTTGAACTCGAAACTTCTAACATAGATCATTATTAGACGGGCCAAGTTTAGTCTTCTGGATGGTTTTGGGTCAGCTGGATCAATAGAAACTAGAAAAATAAAATAAATTGTCCAGCTAGGTGAATGAGTGATTAATTTGAATTGCGATACTTGAATTAGAAACTAATTATTATTATAAGGTATTATGAGAACAAGATATAAAATTATTAAATAAATAATCCCCTCTTTCATGTGCTTTAATGACTTTGTGTAGGATCTTGTGAACCGCAAAATAAGCTGATAATAAAATAAAAATCATTGAATATCAATAATTATTATTGATCCACTTAATAACAATTTTGAGAAAATAAAAGAAATCAAACTTACCAAGAGGTGCACGGGTATCTTCTGGACCAGCGATCAAATACAATTCGTTCAAAGCAATCGCCATATGAACAGCGTGGACTTTAAATCGTTCAATTCTAGCCAGAAACTCGATAGCTGCTTCAAATTGTCCTGTCAGAGCAAGCATTTGGAAGTAGAGATGAGGCTGATTGAAGGCGTCATAGTGACTTTCTCCGTATTCTTCCAGGATAACTTGCTAAAAAGAATATTGTGGAATTGTTGCATAGTAAGCAATAATTCGGATTTATAAATTAATGGTTAATAAAGTCAAAGTAGCAGAACAGAACAATAACCAATCATAAAGGGAAAAATGATAGCTTAAAGTTTAGACTTAGACAACAGCATATCTTAGAGACTAATGTGAAAAGGAAAATTCTAAGACATTATGAAAACTGAAGGGAAATTTTCAGAACTGCCAAGGACAAAATATCAAAGCAAAATTCCTCACCTGTAAATCATTGTATCTGATACTATCATCCCTATCGACACGAACCAAGCTCAACTTCAACCATAAATAGTCATCAGCAGTCCTAGCAACTTCAGAATGTTCATCAGTGACATTGCAACATCCTAACACGCACCACACTATCCTCTTAAATGGATCTGTTGTACTTCTAATATCAGTTCTATAGGAAAGTCTGATGTTGTCTTCAAGTTTTGGAATTTCACAGCTACTGGGGCATTTCAATTTCATCTCCAGCAACCTTATTATTTCTTCAAACTGGCTCAGACCGCTTTTTTTCAGGCAATAAATTGCTGCCGCAAAATCTCCGGATCTTAAACAATAATAAACCATTGGCCATAGTGGGCGTTCATCAATGAGTCCGTCATTCAATCCAGAATATTCGCCTGAGAATCGGAGTCCAAGAAAGCTCCTGACCAATGGATAGGTACCAGGAACACCCCCTCTATTAGCTTGAGCCAAATTTTCATTAACAATATTATTCATAAACAACTTGTATCTGTCTTGCAAATATTTTTTTCCTTGACAAACTAAATCATGGATAATTAGGGGGCTATTTCTGGCTTTTATTGGATCATCAGATTGTGGAAATGGCGAAAGTTGCACCATATATTTGATAATGTCCCACATATCTTTGACTTTAGAATCTTTAAATTCAGCAGCAACATTTTCAAACACATTAATAAGGTTTGTTTTCGAAGACAGTCCTCTGACCAAGGATGTGTTATATTCAATAACTTTACAAGCATAAATCTTTTCATTTGGTGGCATTTGTGCCAATGGAGCAGGCCTGTTTTTAATGAAAACAGTTTGACTTTTGCCAAATTTAACAGCCAAACCTGAATTGCCACTGAGGGCACTTATAATTTTCATTTTTTCTTGTTTCCATTGGGATTGTTGATGTGCCCAAGCAGTATCGTAGTTTGTTGCCAGTGTCTAAAGAAAATCATTGAATGTTTTAAGAAGACAACAGAAAAGGCACACTTACTTCATTAAATGCTGTATCAAAGGTTTCAAGAACTTTGTTTTGTATTTGATTTTCTAATATGTTGGGAAGATCCAAATCATCAACTGGTTCTATGGTTTCAAATGTTCTTTGGGTGCTCAGTGATTCGAGTTTTTTTACGATTTTTGGTAAGTCAACTCCTTTTGAGCCCAGCAATAGGTTTCTAAACATTAAATAACATGAAATCATACAACTGTTATTGTCCAAAATATGGATTCAGCCTTAAGATACCTTTATATCCAAACATACAAACTAAAAACCTCGAGAAAAGTCGAGAGAAAAGTTTATTTGAAACTTTAAGTTGTTAATAAGATAAAGTAGTACAAAATAAAAACTAGCTATTTTTTAAGTCCCTCAGTTTACTGACGTGGTGATATCCAAAGACTATAGGAGACTTCCCATAACAATTTCATTACTTACATTCTCATCAATTGAAATAACTATTAATGCTTATCCTATACCTTATATCTAGAGAGCCCATGCATTTCCTTGCAGGTCGATAAGAAGATGCGATTTCTACTCATCCACTTGCAAACTGGACAACTTCCAATGCACAGGCTACCTATATCACGGCACGGTGTATATCTATCTTTATTAGACTAAAAACTACTATGAGAGAAACGATATAAGAAAATTACATACAAATAGGTAGAAGCTTTGGACTTCACAACAGAGAATTCGAAGGATTTTAGCGACATGTACTTAAGAAAATCAAACCGATACACTTACGCCTCAATATCCTTGGAGCCACCTTGTGCAACTCTTGCATATAAATCATTGGAAGCTTCTAAAACTTGCTTCAACGATCTATCCACTTTTGGAAGGTCCTCAGTACTGAGCCCTTCCAAATCCTTAGTAAGCCTTTCGGCTTCTTGTAGAAGATCTGCGAAGTCTGACATCTTGACTTATTTTGGTTCTAAATCATTTACCTATTAAATTTTTAGTATTAAATAAGTATTACACAAATGCACTGAATAAAAAACCGCCTTTTCTTTTGGGGCTAGCGGCTTTGGTCAAAGATAAACTTGAAAAATCTAAACGAAAACGAATGGCATAAACATAACCATACTTTTTCATTTATGGATTTTTGACATTTCTTAGGACAGGAACTGAGTTCGGTTTGCCCACTCCTTGCACTCGGAGTACATTTATTTTTGTCCCAGATACTTTTGGTGACGGATGGACGTTCAGCTTTTGCAAGGATAATCAGCTATTTTTCAAATGATGTGCCCTCGTATGGATTTATAATCGCCCTTCTCTTGGAGCACTCCCGCAGAGATCTGTGATGTCAACGCCAAGACGGGTAGCGCTCTGGAAGCAGTAAAGCCGAAAATGTTGTTCAATAAAGCAGGACAGTTCAGCAACAACAACAAAGACGAGTAAATAGAGTTTATTCCAAAAGTTAAACGTGGGGAAAGCTAGTCGAATTCTCACAGGATTCTAGCACAGTTCTTCTATTTTTACTCTCTACTCCACTGGTTCGGGTATTTTTTTGGAATAAGCTGAGCAAGTTTATTTGCGTGAGGTTATTGAAAGGAGTAAAGAGAATATGCTCCGCTCCAAAAGTTTCATGATACTAGGTGTGAGTTACTTGTTTTTATTTTTATTTTTCATTTTCTTCTTCTTTTCCACCTCCAGACAAGTTTGCGCTGCTCTTTCAGCTTTACGATTTTACTGCATTTTAAATGGGAATGTTTGGAGTACCAGCAGAGTTCAACTGAACCGCTCTTTGGACCTGTTCAACCCGGCCTAAATAAGCAAAAATTCAAGGTACTCCACTGCCAAGGATAAGACACACTACTTAGGATTGCTTATCCTCCTCGTTTTTGGTAATCGCGGCCATATTGGTGTGTCACCATTTCCGACGTCATTAACAACTCATCATTTGTTTGCACTAGAGGTCGTAGTTTAGAATTTAAATTTATGATGAAAAACATTATTTAATTTTGGTTCGCCTAAGAGAGAAAGAAAATAAAGCCATACATATTGTATTTTGGTTGACGCCGCCGCATCGCCGCAATTTTGGTTACCCCGGCCAGAAAATCCAGGAAGAGGTTAAGCTCATTGCTGTTGCACCGTTTCTAACGTCATTAACGGTGTCGTAAGCTGTTTGCGCCAGCGGTCGTAGTTTAAAATATACATTCATGATTCTAAGCGATTGACAACTTGGTCATCTTGACAGATAAGCAATGCATTTAACGGCAGTTAAGACCAGAGCTGTTTTCTCGCGTCCACTTTTTTGAAACTGGTTCAAACCAGGTTCGAAATAGTATATTCTCGCGATGAACCCAGGACGTCACACAAAATTGGTTCAAACCGTTTCGAAATACAATCCAATCCGCGTTTACAAAGTTATGACGTCATTGAGAAACTGAATTACCGTTTTAGAACGGTTCTCATGTCGAGTTGGAACAGAACTATTGTATTGCAAACATAATGTCATTTTAACTTTTATCTTTAATAAAAAAGCAGATTTTACTTGACCAGTCAGAAACAACTACTCCGGTCTCCGAGGGCAGATACCCCTACCGGCGTTGAACTACACTGATTGGTCTGTGCTTTCGTTGGCAATGACCTGGAAAAAACTTTCTAACAGATTTTACGGTTAAACCAGGACCGCTGGTTCAAACAGCTGACAACTTAGTTGATGACGTCGGCAATGGTGCTACACCATTGCCAATTTTAAGCGATTGACCAGTCGGTCATGTTGACAGGATAAGCAATGAATTTTTCGTCAGTTAAGACCCAAAGATGATACACACCTACAGAATTACTTATCAGCCTCGTTTTTGGAAATCGCCGCCATATTAGTGTGTCACCATTTCCAACGTCATAGCTTAGTCGTCAGTTGCTTAAACAGCATTTAAACATTTAAACAGTGTACGTCAAGGCGAGAAATAACATGCTGCCTACGTCACAACTGGTGATTTGGCGTGAGGTGGTGGGGCAGGGGAGGGGGGATTTGTTCCACACAGGCCTTATGAGGATAGGCTATCCTGTAGTAGTAGTGTGTATCATCCTTGGTTTTGGTTAAGACCAATGGGTTGACAAATGACGCTTATAATTAATGTTTTATCTGTCAAGATGACCAATCGGTCAATCGCCGAAAATTGGCTTATAAAAGGGTCTTCACAAAAAAAAAAAAAAACAACGATTGCTATGGCTTTTCAAACCTATGTCTTAGCAATATTTTTCTGTAGTTTTGTCATGAACTATAATGTCAAAATGTCATGTCAAAAATCCTGACCAATAAAAGAACAATAATGCGACGTACGTTTAGAAAAACATAGCAATCTCTGATGTTTTTTTTTTTTTTGAGGACCCGATATGACCGCGACTCCCAAACACGAGGCCGATAAGCAATCTGTAGTAGAAGGTCTGTTCGCACGGAAATCACAAACCAGTCAGAGCGAATTTCATTGGTTAAAAACAGTCAGGAATAGTCCAGAAAACTAGTTTCAATCAATAAAATTCACTCTGACTGGTTTGTGATTTCTATGCGAACATTAATAGGTTGTCTGGTAATGGGTAACTCGATGACGCATCTACGGTGCCTTATGGGAGATTTGCATTATGTTGAGGCACCCCAGATGACGTCATAAAGTTATCAGGGCAACCTAGCTTGAGATTTGATCTACACGGGCCTTATGAAGATAGGCTATTCTGTGTAGTGTCAGTGTCTAATATCCTTGAAGTTTGGCCACCGGCCATCCATTTGTAAAGGATCCCCCACACCGGCGCGATATGGCGGTAGCGGTAGCGATATGTCCGTTCGCCGCTATGGACATATCGCTACCGCTACCGCCATATCGCGCCAGTGTGGGGGATCCTTTATACACGTGACGTTAAATATATCGTGACGGTTATTCGTAACGCTAGCTCGTGTGTCACGGGCGTCACGGCCTTGAAGTTTTACTCCAAGCATGCATAAAGAAGTTTCACTTCAACATGGAAATATACCAACTTACTCCATGACTTTGTTACCGATATATCAATAACGGTTTTCAAGTGCAACTTCTCAACGCCCGCTTGGAGTAAGCGATACGAAAATCAGTCACGATTTCACGATAGAGGTATATTTTGGAGTGCAACTTCTTTGCTGAGGGTGCAACAATTTTCGAGCGTTACGAAAAAAATTTTTGATCGCGTAAGGAGAGTATGAAGAGTGCATCAGCGGCGACCGGAGGGGGAATACGCACTTTAAAATAAAATCAGGAATAAACGACAAGTTTAAAGTATCTTATGGAAATTCTATACGAAAACTTCGTTTTACGGGATCAATTATGTCTACACTCCATGCAAGATATCAATAATAATAATGAGGGGTTCTGTCCTTTTGGATTAATATTTCATCAAATAAATTTCACAACACACAATAATTATAATATACACGAAATTTTGAAATAATATTTGAATACCTTCAGTAAAGAGAGTTTTTGGATTATTCAACATAGAACACCGAAGATCCTGGAAACGATTTACTTGTATAAAAATGCGTTAAATCCAAATAGGCCTGTCGGTTTATTACCTGTCGATTTCGATCTCTGCTCTCTACTTTTTGCCAATTTTCTGTTTGATGGATGTTTATTTTTATTGCTTTCGCTTTGGTATTCTTTTAGGGTATTTTCTGAAAATAAAAATGTTCCCTCATCATTTTACAACTCAATATTGTTACCTTTTATTTTCTTCATTTGCATCCACAATATCTCTTCAATTTGCTGTTTCCAAGCCATTTTCAATTTATCAGTTTTAGCGTCCAAAATATAAGTGTATTTGCTCGAATTTCGCCTTTTGGTTTTAGTATAATCGGTCAAATGTATCGTTGTATCGTCATATGTCGCTATCCTCAAGTCGTTTGTCTTGATGCTTTGATGGTAGATAAATTGTTCCATGCTTTTCTACAACACAAAAAAAATCGTTACATTTGCAAATTTTTAAAAATAAAAAAACCTTACGAGATCTTCTGTAGTAAAAACTATAACATCCTCAAACAAAAACACCATCACTTCCATTCGTTTTGGTTTTAGTAAAGCAAATTTTTCTCTGGAAATAAAAGCTCCGTATTCTCTAGTGTGAAGTGGACTAAATAGTATGGAAGCAATGGCTACAGCATCATTGCCTCTACTCATGTATTTTTTGACTACATCCAAAGCCATTTGCACAGCACCTATAGATTTACCTTCTTTGCCTAATTGTTTTATAATATTTTCCAAAAATAATTTGTATTTGCCTAATCGTTGAAGGGGGGTCAAAAGATACGCTGACAAATGGAGTTTATCATTAATTTTGTCCTGTTTTTCCTGAAAAAAAAAGACTCCTTTAAAATATTAATTAGTGTTTAAATTAGTCTAATCACCTTTATCAGGAAGCCTAAATCCTTAACAGCTACATTAGCTCTTGGAGTATTTTTAAAGTATCTAGGATAAAGCCTGAATAAGTCTTCCTAAAACAATCTCAATCAACATTAAAATAATAAAAGTCATTTTGGTCCATACAAAATCAATAAAGGCCCTAGCGACTTCAATTATATCCTCATCAGCAGCTTCTAGAACTTCCATAAATTGAAGTTGCCCTTGATATATTTGCTCCAGATTCGCAAACACTACATCAACTTTTTCAGGGCACCGCTCTTCCAAGAAGCTTTTGTACTCTTTTAAAACTTTTCGAATATCACTAACGTACTTTTTTTCAGTCGATTTAATCTCATCTAGAATATACTGAAGCCTAAAATTGAAGAAAATTATTTCACAATTTACTCTGCGAGAATTTTCACTTACGTTTCCTTCTTTATTTCAGACACAACAGGAATTTCTTGATGGGTAACAAATTCATAATAATTTTCTTCATCAACAACAGCCTTTGCTCCTTCATCTTCTTCACCAGAATAATAATAATTTATTGTCGTTTTATAATCCTGCGTTTCTTCTGGTGGATATGGGCCTACCCTTTCAATTCTCACAATTCCTTGTTCATCACAATAAGTTTCTCTTCTAGCTGATGCATTGGAACCATAAGTGCCTGATGCTTGTTCAATATCAATTCCTTCATCTTCGTAGCTTTCGCCAGAAGTTGTAGAATATATTGTGGTTCTTTTTGAATCAGTGCCAGATTTTGATTCGTTAGCTTCTCCCATTAGTACCAACATTGATTCATCATTGGTGAGAAATTTTGAGCAACTGTTAGCTTTCATTTTATCGAAACTATTTAAATCGACACTTTGCCTTTCAACCTGTACGCTGCACATGATTAGTTCTTTGCCGTCAGCATTGTAAGTCTCCAGATAATACAAACCCTTTTCCAAGTCTTCCCTAAAATAGGTTTCACCAAACAGGTCTTGGTCTGAGTCTTCGTATTGTTGTTCTTCTTGGTTTGGAAGGATTATGATTGTTTGGTAAACAGGACTTGCTTCTTCATCTTCTGATTTTTTGATCGATAAATCATCTAAATTAATTTCTGTTTTGTTGACGGTTTCATCATTAGAAAGCAAAGTTAAATTCTCAAAACTCAAATGAAAATCGTCTCGGAAACCATCATTGAGCATATTTTCAATTTCCATATCCATTTCCTCTATAAAACTTTTTCTGTAATTTTCAGTTTCACCTTTATCAGCAGCATCTTGAAAACCTTCATAACGTTTAGTGAGTTCCCTAACACTTAAAGGTTTTTGTAAAATACCAGTTCTTCGTTTGTCAGTGCGTTTATTTCTTCTTGATCTATTATTTTTGATGAATCTTCCTGTAAATGAAGAAGATTCATAAGTATTTTGTTTTGTTTCGTCATTTTCAAGAGAGTTTTCCTGGTTTATTTGTACAAACGATTTGTGTTTCCACCATTCAATAGAATCAGGTTCAGTTTGAGCATCTTCATTTGCTGAAGTATGTGAAGAATCATTATCGATAAATTCTGATTCTTCATTACTTTCTACTGCTTCATAATATTCATCTTCGTTTGTTGAGGTTTGAGAATGAGAATCATTATTATTGGTCTCACTACTTTCTGCTGCTTCATAATATTCTTTTTCATCTAGGCTTTCTGTGTCTTCATGAGTTATTATTTCTTCATGATTGACGTTATTTGTTGATTCTTCACTACTGTGTGCTTCCTCAATATGATCTTCGGTTGTTTTTGCTGTACCTTCATTATTTTCTAGTCGTGTCTTTGATGCACCACTGTCTCTTGCTAAAAAAAAAGGAAATTTACCAAGTCAATAAATATTAGATATAGAATTGATTAAAATAATGCGCAAAACGGGATTTTTATAGATATATCTGAATTAAATAATAAGTATTAATATTTCATTAAGATAAAGATGCCAATTTGAAAAGTTGAGTGTTCTATTATTCTAGTTAGAATATGTTTCTATACTCACAAATTTCATAAACAGCTTCAGCACTAAATGATCTTCTATATGGGATTAAACTTGCACTAATATTATTTTCAAACTCTATAATATCTTCTTCCTCTATTGTATCACTGCTAACTCTGTGAAGTACTGTATCACCACTTAATCTTGTAAAATTGCTAGTTTCACTATCATCATCACTTAATTTGTCTATCAATGTCTCTTCAAAAACATTATCAAATGTTATTTCTAGTTCGGTATCACTATTTTGTATTTCTTGTGTAACATCCTCAATGCGTTCTTGAAGTTTATTGATATCTTCCATTATTTTTTCCTTATCAAGTAACCAATTTTCTCTTGATTGGTCTTCTTTTATTTGCCTTTGTAATTTCTTCTTTACAGGTTTCGGTGTTGAAGGTACATAATCCTTGTTGCATCTTTGCTCGATTTCTTCTTTGAGTTTTTGCACTTTACTCTCACCGTTGCTATAGCTTTTCAGCAGTCCCCTTGAAGTTTTAGTTTCACTGTGACTTGCTCTGGAAGCTGGCAATGAGTTGGTCCGCAGCAGTCTAGTTTTATTCGGTCTAGAAATTTCGAATAAACCAATAATGCGACTGAATTTGCTAATCTTTGTCTTGGACTTTTTCGGACTCGTAAGTGTAGGCTCCTCCATTTCAAGGCATTGTTTTGCGAAACCTATTTTTAACTGTGAAACGATGCAAAATTACTGGAGCCTGATAAAGAGACTGGGTGTAAAATTGTGCCTTATCTCAGCGCCTCATTATCTTATCTAGTTTGTATACTTGGAACCATAATATAGATCCGTAAGTTTTTATTCTCGTTACCTTGTTATCTGAGATCAATTCTAATAAAAAAAAAATTTAGTAGCGAATTGAATTGTGTAAATAAATAGTTGGTGGGTTTATTTATTATACAAATTTATTTTGGTAATGGCCGGCCAAATATTTTGTTTTGGATTCGCAAATTAACAATTTCACTCCTGACATTGTTTGCCAGGAATTGGATAAAATAATAAAACCGAAAAAGCTAATTTTTGTATTCGTCTAAGTATATCCAAAAAATTGTTTAGTGTAGGTAGTAGCTGTGGTAGTAGGTATATCACTTTACCTTATTCAGGCTCTATAATTTAGTTAAAATTTTAAAAACATCATCAAAAACAGCAATTTTCAAGTTAAAACTCTTTAGCAGTTCAGGTATGATATAGAAAACTCTTGTTTTGGAGGTAGATTGTAGATGTGTCATTACAGTTACAGTTACAGTTGAGTCATTACAGTTACAGTTACAGTCCAGGCGCTCAAGCACTGCTACCTACCTTTCCAGATATTTTTTGCGTAACTCTGCTTCTAGTGTCCAAGATTTGGGGTGTTAGTCGTACCCTCAAGTTATTTCTTCTTTTTGCAGAAGTGAGCAGGGCATTCACGGATTAAATGTTCTGTAGTTTCTGTTGCTTGTTCGCAAGATCTGCAGTGGTCGTTGTCTGATTTGCCTATTTCGATATTTCACCAGGCAATGCCCAGTGAGCAGACCAACGACTGTTCTAACGTCTCTTCTATTCATGTCAAGAAGTCGTCCAGATCTCTTTGCTGGACCTGCACTTGATGGTTCCTAGAGCCTTTAGAGACTCTTCTGGTGGTACATTGATCCAATGACGTTTTCACACTGACAATAGAACAAATTGGACATCATTGGGTATTTCCACAACTTGATTCATCGTGGAAGAAAAGAAATAGCACATTAATTATCACAAGATTCATTCTGGGGGTAGTCAGAAACAGGAAAATACCAGTGGCGTACACTCGATCAACCTACGAATGGAGAATCATACGAAAATATACAAAACTGTATGATTATTTAAAAACTGTACATAGAAAACTGTATGATTATTCAAAAACTGTACATATTGATTGAATCCATACTAACATGGAAAGGTTGAGGGGGTAGTCAGAAACAGGAAAATACCAGTGGCGTACACTCTATGGACCTACGAATGGAGATCCATTCGAAAATATACAAAACTGTATGCTTTATTCCCATCATGGCACACTCCATGATTTCATCTTCAATACTTTGCTCTTCAAGTTCCGCTATGACGTCATCTTTTATTTATGCTGCAGAATTTTCGTGTTCCCCGATTTACATACAGCGGAAGACGATCACAACTCAGATACAACCTTCCTTGGAATCTGTCTCAGAATAGTGAAATTTCATTTTTTCTCTGATATTACTTGGATACATTATGAAGAGTGTCAAAAGAGCTGTCCCTCAAACAACGGTGGAAATATTCGTTTGTGTAAGGGTTATATTCATAAGGAAGAAAACAGGTTCAGGAAAAACCTTTGGTCAAAGAATACTTCACAGGAATAACAACACCTGAGATTTTACCTGACCCTCAAGAGCATATCCAAATTTACTGCTTTTCCGCTTTGAGAAAATGGATTATTTCTTCAATTCAAGGCTCTCAAAGTAGACTATTGGTAGTATCCAAGATGGATATACAGTTAGAAACGAGAAAATTCGAGAAATAATGAATTTTGGAAGAAAACATAATCCACTTTTCTCGTATGAATACCATGGAAAGAATACCAGAGCAGCAAATTCCTAGTTTTTCCAGTGGGTTCCCGTAGCGAAAAAAAAACGAAAATGGTCGAAAACTACCTGGATCAGTGGCATTCAGAGTGCCATATCCGAAAGAAACCTGAGGTCAGGAGATTGGAAATGGTAGAAGAAGCTGGCGATTGGAAAACGAACAACGTTTCTCTCGGTAAATCTCAGGTTGAGAAAAACTGTCTATTCATATTGATGATGGAAAATAGAAGGAAGGAACTTCAATTACATTACAGCAAAATAGGGATTTGGATTAAGAAAGGATGAGGTTTATAATGTGGCACATTAAAAATAATGGATCAGAATAAGATAGATGACCTGGTAAAAGTGGTGTTTGTGTTTTGCCAAGAGAAATAAGGTAACTATCCATAAAACAAATATCGACGTGTGGAATACGCAAGGATGTTGCAAATTAATCCATCCAGATGATTTAAATTCACAAGATAAGCAAGGGAATAGAGGCCTTCATTATAACCCTAAAGTTTGTCTAGAACTTCTGGAAGCAACCATTCACGTGAGTTAAAAAACTTGACCAAAAATCTGCCTAGAACATTGGAATTCAAGAACATAACTCAAACGAGTTTTGCAAACTCAACTCATCACTCATTATTGTTCAGAATAGCTGAGAAAATCAAAATTTTTAAGCAAAATTTAGTATTGATAAATATTTTTGACACGACTGAAATATAAGAGTCCTTGAAGGTCCCCCTTAATTCAATAAAGTTTGAGCTACAAATAACGTGCTTCCTCTTCCCTCGACAACTATCCACACATCTAGAATAAAAACCGTAACACGATTTTACACATAAATTGTATTTGAAAATTGCAAATTACTCGATACCAAATGAGCCAGTGTAAACTTTGCACGAATAAGAAGGAAGAATGCAAAATCAGTAACCAAACTAACACCACGATTTCTTCATGTACCATTACTTTTTGGTACTGCACGACAACATTCATCTTAGAAAGGTATCCATCTCAAAGATGCAGCAAATCTGTCGGTTATTCTTCGTCCATCTCTTCCGCTGGAGAAAGGGGGGCTTCCCCCATTGTTTTGCGCCTCGACCTGGGGGATACGTAAATAGCCAAGAGTGCCCCAATGGGGTTTTAGTTATAGTCACGGCGCGAATATTTAGGCTTCGAAAAAAATCGAAGAAAGGATGGCGACACGATCGCTTCTTTTGTGCGTGTCCCTGTGGCTTGGGGTGGTTGGGGGGCAGTTTTTCGGTGGCGGAAATCAACAGCAGCAACAGGTGAGAGATTTTATGTTAATCAAATTGTATAGGAAATTATTGCCGGTAGCTACAACAATTTTCCGGTTGTTAGATATAGAAAAACCGCAACAAAATGTTTAACGGATTAGTATTGACTAATGAACAATAAGCGATTTGATAAGGATTTTTTTTTTCAAACTAAAGAAACATGATGTAATAGATTTGTTATTGAACATTTAATTTTTTATAAGCAATTAAAATGCTTTTCCCATACCTTCGGAAACCTGTATGATGATGGGTATTATATATGGGTATAACAATTATGCAACCATAAAGTTTCTAAAATTAGCACAAATAACAATAGGCGACAGACAATTATTATTATTAAGTCATTGAAAACAATGCCTTTTAGATGCATAGGCATCGAAGTGAAAAAATTGACTGATGCATTAATAATAATTAATATAAATTGTTAATTTAGCAGGTAGGTGTTTAAAAGTTATAAGAATCAATTAGATGTTTTTGAAGGAGAAATTTTTCTGCCAATATTTTCTATTAGAGCCCTATAACTACAAAAGAGAAAAATTCAAAATTTTAATAGCTGTAAGTAAATAGTTTTCTCTAACTTATTCTACTCTAGTTTTTGTATTTATTTTCAGCTCCCTAGAGATAATTTAACATTGAAATATTGGCAAAAATACAAAAATTCCCTACTTTCAGTAGGTACGAATAAATCAATAATTTAGATTTTAGAAAATAAGAATAGAATCAATAAATATTGAAATTATATTTAGAATTAATTAGGTACCGCACACATTATTTTTCTTTAATTTTTCGAAATAAATATAAATCATGAGGTGAAAGGACAAAGGAATTGTCAAAAATACAATTTCCTTATAAGATTTATATAACTATTCAACACAACAATAAGATGCATTGTTCCTTTTTTTCGCAACCTCCCAAAAACTGTAAGTATATCCGTTCTTTCGTTTTGCTTCGTTTCACCTTATATGACAATTGGATTAAAGTTATGGACGTATTGTTCAAATTGCAACAACTTTGACCTAAAACGATCAATTTCAGACATCAACACCAGTTATATACAATCTACATTCAAAATTTTTGCTTTTATTATTCCAAGACTTTCTTCTCTCTCAATCTGCAACAAAAACACTTTCGAACAAATTTATTTATTTCAATAAGCTTGCTAGTGTTAATATTTATTTATTCACTTTTTCTTAGTCAGTGGCCACAGAGTGGCTGGGTACTGACCAAGATTGTTTATTGAATCAGTACGAAAATGTGTTTGAAAATTTCACTAAAAGAACAGGAAGTAGATACCTATAAATTCTTTAAAAATTGAAAATTTATTTTTATGATCATCAATAACCGGTCGACCGGTAGGAAGGCAATAATGCCTCTTCTTACGACATCACTTTCTTCTTTTATTGATCACCACGCGCAGATTAAAAGGTCAAGTTCGAAAATTTGTCGATTGTTAACTCTTTGGCATTCGGTACTTGAAATCTTTGACGACTTTCTCCACACGTTAATTTAGGAATTTTTCAGAAGAATTTTCTATAGTGATATCGAGATCATGATAATTGTTGAATATGATTTGAAGCATTGAAGCCTTACATATATATATTTTCAAATGTATTGATTGGAGATTGTAGTGACAAGGAAATAATACTTTAATATATAAGATAAATTATCTACTATCTACCTAACTGAGAACGTCCATTGGACGTTTTTCTCTAGTGGAAATGTCACAGGGACAAACAATCTTCCAAACAACATTTAGACTACAAAAATGGATGCGTCAAAAACGTCTTAAGTCGAACTAATTTCTAGACGTCCATTATTATAATATAGTGTGTCCCAGGGAAAACAGTCTAGCAAGGTTTACGGATTTGAACGAAAAGATAGAAAAAAACAATCGGACCCATAAAATTTTGTTTTTAGGGGGACACATTTTATTGGTGCTTTCACCCTTCACTTGTCAACTCCTAGATGGGTAGGTATACCCCCAAAATTTCAAATGAAGAGGGGGTCAAGTGATACGTCATTCGATAGCTATTTTCATTAAGATTATGAACCTGAAGTTTTAAGTTGCTACTATTCACCCTGCCAAAATGGCGGCTTGTCAAATTAAGGAAAAATGCTGTAGTAAAACGCGCCCAAGTACTCTCAATTAGTTAGATGATAAATGGCGAGCGGTATATTGATGGTATTTATTTTCTTGGGCGGCTACTAATAAAATTGTGGAGGGGGTCTAATCCCAAATGAGAGAAACAAACTATTGAGGTTTACCAAATTATACTTTATTATACTTAAAACAAAAAAATAAAGCAAATATTTTTCTAAGTCTAACAGCCGCTTCTAATTTTTCCCAAATCAATTTATTTCACAACTTCTCAAACTTTATTATTTCGGACCAAGAATTATCCATATTATAACGCCCTACTTCTCTACTCCTAATAACTTATAATTTATACATTTATTCTTTTAAACAACACGTTCGATTCACATTCCTAATAAAACTACCATTCATTTCGTTGGTTTCAACTTTAAATTACTTCCACGTAATTTTTCAAAAATGTGCCTCAATCGTTCTAGATGGGAATCTACGTCTTTGGAAAATACAATTATGTCGTCTAGATATAGGATAGACACTCGGTATATGTCAATTTTCCTAGGATGTGATTCATCATACGGCTCCAAGTAGCCGGTGCATTCATCAAACCCATTGCCATTCTCAAAAATTGGTAATGGTTATCAGGAGTTGGAAATGCTGTTTTCTCCTAGTCCTCTGGCTGTATGGGCACTTGCAAATAACCAGATGCCAAATCCATGGTAGAAAATAGGTGAGATCCCGCTAATTTTTCGATGGTCTCTTGTATATATTGGGTAATGGGAAATAGTCAGTTTTTGTTATGGTATTTAATTACCGATAATCTATGACAAGCCTCTACTGGATGTCCTCTCTAGGGTGTCTTTTCTTTTCTATACGGATTGCAGGAAAACTCCATGGTGACTCACTTTCTACGATCACTCCGTCATTAAGTAATTTCTGGATTTCTTGCTTCATAACCTCGTGTCGATGATACGGTACTCTATGAGGTTTCTTTATGATTGGCTGCACATCTTCTGTAATAATTCTATGTACGACCTCTGTTGTACAACTTAGTTTGTCTTCTGGTGCTTTAAACACGTCAATAAACTCAAGAACAAGCTGCTTAAGTCTTTGTTCATCACTCGATTTGGGATTGTCTAAATTTAACTTCTCCAAAATTTCTTTGACTCCCTTTTGGTCAATACTCCTTATTTGCAGGTTTTCTTCCTTCTTGGTTTGCTCAATCTCCGCTTCGTATGCTCGTGCTTATACAGATTTACTTCTTAGAGTTTATTCTTTCTCTGTTATATTCATTGACCTCACTGGGACTACACTGACCTTCTTACACAAAACACGTGCCACTAGCAATCCTGACAAAGCATCTTCGCATTGTTCGACTTGACTCATCGGCGGTATTATCACCTCCTCTCTCAGAGCCACCAGAAAACCATCTTGGTTTCTGAATTCCATGTGCTTTACTGGACCTTCATTAGAATTTCTTTCTAATGGACCCTCAAAATTCATTCGGAATTTCCCTGAAAGTTCACTGTCCTTCCTCTCCTAAACTGGTGCTACTGGCAAGCCTGCCAAAACTTCATCACATTGTTTAATGTGTTGAGCCTTACCCCTTGAAGTTCCGCGTAGGGTTCTATTGCACACTTCATCAATCATCGGCGGTATCATAACCTTTTCTCCCAAAGACGCCGGAAAACCTTCATTCAACAAAATCTCGTCCTTCACTGGACCCTCATTAGAGTTTATTTCTAATGGAAAACCTTCACTAAAAAAATTTACATCCTTTCCTGGACTTCTAATAACTTCATCCTCTCGAATTGGAATGGCTCTATGGATTTCACTGGAACTGGCCTGGTTCTTTTTTGATGATGTCAGACTTCTCTCTTTTTATTTACCAAATTGTTGGTTGGTTGTAGTTATCGAGCGGTTACCAGTTACCAGCCGCTACGAAACTACGAATCTCCGTTACTGGTACTAACGTCAGATCCTTCATCATAAAATGTGTCCTACTCTACTCATCATTGTGTTATCTTTTTTAGTTTCTGTTTGAACTTCTAGATAATTTTTTACTTCAACGCCATTTCTATTCCTCTCGAAAATTTTCACATAATTTTTCAGCTCGTCAAGCTCCATTTCCTAGTTTCTAACTTTGATCATCAACTCTTTTTCTCCTTTCTGTATCGCATAGTCGGCATCAATATTTTCATCATACATTTGGATTTTCTTCTCAAAAGCGTACATACAATTGTTCTGCCAATCTACTTTAATACCATATTGGCGCAGAAAATCTATTCCCAATAGTAAATCTGCCCTTAACGAATCTGTATTAACCACAATAAAATTGTGTTTCACAACGACGTCTCCGTTGAACATCACAGGTATATTTGTCATATCTCTTACAGGAATTTTATTGTCCTGTATATCCACCAAATTTACATCACATTTTTCTTTCTTGAACCCCATGGCAATCTCGGGCTTAACTAGGGATACTACTTACAGCTCCAGAATCTATTAAGGCTAGGTAGGACTTATCATTAACCCTAACCCTTACTACATTACAACTTTCTGGGGTTCTCACCTTGAAGCATGTATACAGGGTGTCCCAGAATCAGCGTGACAGACCATAACTTTCTTATTTTTAGAAATAAAAATTTGAAACAAAAAAAAATACTAATGGTTAGTTAACCTCTTTCCAAAAATATTAAAAAAATCTGCCCCTGACAAAATCATCCCCTATTTACAACCCTTGACTTGTTTTTTTCAAATGGCACCCCTATTATTTATTTTTATTTTTGAGAAGCTCATAAAATTGCAAATTTAATGATGTAGGTAAAGTTTGTTTTTCCATGTTTCCTAGGAGAAAAAATTCAAAAATGAAAATAATAAAAATGAGGTTCTATTTGAAAAAAAAAAGACAAGAGTTGTTTTAAGGGGATGAGTTTGCTAGGGAAGATTTTTTTAATATTTTTGAAGAGGGATTAATTTGCACACAGTTAATTTTTTTTGTTATATTTGTATTTTTGTAGACAAAAATGTGATCGCCTGTGTAAGGCTAATGGTGGAACATCCATTTTTTTTTCCCCAAAAGATATGGAAAAACAAACTTTTTAAACACCATTGAATTTGTAATTTCATGAGCTTCTCAAAAATAAAAATAAAATATAGGGGTGCCATTTGAAAAAAAAAGTCAAGGGTTGTAAATAGGGGATGATTTTGTCAGGGGAAGATTTTTTTATATTTTTGAAGAGAGCTCAACTAGCCATTAATATATTTTTTTTTGTTTCAAATTTTTATTTCTGAAAATGAGAAAGTTATGGCCTGTAACGCTGATTGTGGGACACCCTGTATATCCCTACCCACCTCTCTTCATTTAATCCCAACTTGCCTAGTTGGCAGCCAAGTCTCGGGGTTGATAGGTGGCTGCGTTCGAGTTTAAAGTCTGCCTATTTCCCGATTGCTGGGTAAACGCGCTGACTTCCGTGCATTTTTAGCAAAATGCCCTTCCTTGTTGCAGCTGAAGGTAGCAATTGTAACACATCATTTTTCTAGATTGCGGTGTTTTTTGGTTCCAACGGTTCTGATGACTTGGACCTGCTGTCTTCTTTTGATTCATAATCCCGCGGCATTCTCGACTGTGTGAACCAATCCTAGGGTAAATTGGGTGGCAATGTCTCCGAGCAATTCCTCTTCCAACAATTTATCTGTTGCTGGATTTCCGGTGAATGTAGCGGTCCGGTGTCCCAATACCTTCAATCTAGTCAGATACCGTCTACATGCTTCACCTGTCCGTTGTTTGCACTCAATGAAGTATTTCATGGCGGTCCCTTTTACATAATGCCTGCCAAACTGAGTTTTTAGACTGTCCTTTAGCAGAGTCCAGCTTGTGGTGGTTTTTAGGGTTGGCTCTGCTTCTATGTACTGCTTGGCTCGATATATCAGTTTCAATAGGGCTACTGAAATCTCCTATGTGTCTGTCCAGTCAGCTTAAATACAAAGAATTTTTGAATGTTCTAGAAGAAACTTTCAAGAACATTCAAAAATACTTCGGCACTAGTAGTTCCATCATAGGTAGGTATGGAATCTAATCCTACAAAAAGGTTAGGCATGGTGGTATTGAATTGTGGTACTGGGCTCGGAGGGTTGGACATCTTTAACGTGGTTGTTCTCAACTTAAATTTTACTCATAAAATTACAGTTTCTCTTAGTTCACAAATTATTTTTAACCCTATACCAATGCTTTCACAGTTGCTCTCAATGTACAAATAATACACCCCACACCTGACACCAATGTAGCAAAACGCGCCCAAGTACTCTTTTTAATTAATTTGGGTCAATTTTTATTGGTTTCATTTTCAATTTATTGATACTGATGTTAATTATTAAAGATTTAATATCTACTGTTAAGACACTGTAATTTACGGGTCTATTTTTCCCGGGTCGTTACAATGCTTTCTTTCGATTATCTAAACTTTATAGTTTTTACCTGTCACACCTATGCGATAGTATCAGGTAAAAACAACACCTACCACCTTTTGCAACTTAAAACTTCGGGAATATAATCTTAATAAAAATAGCTATCGAATGACGTATCACTCGACCCCATTCTTCATTTGAAATTTTGGGGGTACCTACCACCCCGGCCAGGGGTTGACCAGTGAGGGGTGAAATTACCAATAAAATGTGTTCGAGGGTTTTTTTCAAAATCTTTTCATCCAAAACCGTAAACCTTACTGGGGCCTGTATATCAATATATCCATATTCATCTAGAATACACATGTTTTCAATGGCGTTCTCTTGCAAATGACCAACAGGAACTTTTCATAAAACATACTTTTAAGTATCCGAAAATAGTTTGTGAAACGTTTCCAACAATGGTTAAAAATTATTTGTAAAAACGCACTTTAAAAACGTCCATCCTACTTTTTGTGCTATTAGGGGTAAGTAAGTAGGTGAAGTTTGTTTCGCCAGGGTTTGTACTTGCCACCAGCATTTGCCTTCCTTGTTTAACAAATCAAAATTGACTGAAACAAATCAATGACGTCAAAAACGTTCGTCGGTTCTTAAATCATTTTAATTTGTCAAAAAAATTGAATGTGTCATATGAATTAATCTACGACAACCCTTTTTTTTCAAGTTTCAAGGTCAAGTATGAACCCTGGTGAAACGGACATTATTTCTCGCAAAGTTAAATCAAAAAACTACTTGTCGACTAGCTAGAAAGCTACTACTTGAATGAGAACATACAGCAAGAAAAAATGCCTGTCCAGATTTCTCAGGACAAACCTGAACACCTGGAACCTGGTTCCGGTTCCAGTAGATTGACCAGACACTGCCACTTGACTTGATCAGTTTATGTTGGATACTTCTCAAACAATATATTTCATCGCCCAATCCTGGACGCTCGTCTTCTCTTTTCCAACTTATCCCTGGAGGTCTTCTTACATCATCAATCTTTTTCAAGATTGTGCTATTTTTCCAGGTCCCCATTGCAGTAGGTGATGTGTTTTTTTTTTGCATCTTACCATACAGATCTTACTTTAACTTGTCTACAATTTTATCTTTATCATAATTATAAAGTGGAAATACCATAATCACATCTGTGTCTTTATACCCTTGTTTCTAATTCTAAAATATCCCTGAAGTAGGTACCTATCTTATATTTCGAACATAATTATCTCTATTATATACTCTTTATTGGGTGTCTCTTAGTTTGTTAGTTTTACTATGAAATTATTCAAAGTTGTAAACTTATGCCCAAACATCATTAAGTTAAAAAAAAATGAGACAATAATATTAAAGTAAGTAGGTAAGATATAAAGATACCATGTATGTTTAGTGTAACTATAACATCTTCTCCTAATTTTCTTTTGCCGTAAGCAATTCTAAACAAAACCAGCAAAAAGAAAGTATAAAACCGCAACATCTTAGTTATGTCATCCTTTAAACAAATTACACTTCACACATTATTGTTAATGGAATTGTATGTATGTGTTGCAATATCAATATCCAAATTCGCTCTCCAGTTACAAAGAATAAAAGTTTCAAATAAATCATCAAATAAAATAAATCGGGAATTGTTTCAAATCTACTCACCGGATTAATGATATACTGTGGTATAGAAAATAACTGATATTTTGAACTGACCAAAAACCGAAAACCGCTCATTAGAATCTACCGCAGATTATCTGTTGCGTACCTCTTTCGTGATTTTTCCGGATAAGTTAGTTTGTAATAAAACAACTTTCTCGAAGAATCTTCGTTTTGATATGTTGCGTTCCCACGCCTTTGCAATTATTTATTTAAAGAAGCATTTGGTATTTTGTAAATTAAGTCATATTAATTAATTAATCGGCATTTCAAACATTCCATAAGGTGCAGCTCTGCTGGAGGTGATTTAATTAACTTTCTCTATCAAATCATTGATAATTTTTTTTGATTATCATGGATATTGATGTTCAAATTTGGTGTGAATTTAGCTCTTAACACTCTCCTAGGCCTACTTTTCCGGAACCCAAAATATTCAATTTTTTTGTATAATTGGCAATATTTTAAAAACTGTAGATCCTCAGGTGTTGAAATCAGATACCTAACTAAACTGATTTTAATATCACCATATATTATTGGTCAATATACTATATAGGTTGCATTTAAATCGGTTAAAGCATTGGCAAACAAATTATTTATTGCAAAAATAAACAAATACAGAAGTAAAAGCAGTCATCTCGAGTAAACGTGTCCTTGTAATCATCAGTTATGAATTTACGTCATCCATTGTGAAATTCGCTCTTGATGCTTCATGTCCTCTAATATTGAACAAAACTGTATTATTGATCAATCGATTATTACATCAATATCGCACTGGATGATGATTTAAGTGAAATTGGTCATGATCGATATCTTTCATAAGCTTTTGTTATATTTGTTTGCATTTTGTTTCATTTTTTCCCAAACATTTATTTTGTAGTATGCAATAGTGCATTTTGTGCTTGCAATAAACAAATAAATATAGTACCTTAATGAGAAAAGTCCATTGGGAAATAAAATAGTACAAACAATGATTATTGTGAGAAATTCGATCATTAGCTGCTTAATGAGACATAATATTTAATTTACTTGTGCATTACATTAAATTTTCTCATAGTTGATTCTGTTCTGTGCATTTGATTTCGTTTAAAATTAAGTAGTTTGAATTACTATGCAAGCTTGATTTTTCATAGATGTATTAGAAGGGATAACTCAAGAATTTGCAATAAATTATAAACATTATACTACCTAAAGAAGAGGTAGATATATATTTTTCCTAAATATTCCGCGAAATCTGCAATAATAATATACATTATCATTAAGTAATCGCAATGTTGCAGCTTTGAAATTGTGCAAAAGAATTAGGTAAATTGCACACACCATCAGGCAGGCTATAAACGGTTATTTTATAAAGTACTTGATCCAAAAAAATTGCGGCTGAAGATTTTTGAACCTGAATAGTCCACGGTACCGCTGCTATAAGAGACTGGCATCCAATGGCCCGTGGTTCTAGTGAAAGTCGTACCTGCTTGCATTTTATTCATACATACATTTGCAGAGGTTTTAGGATGCTGCATGACGAAACAACTCCGATTTTGAGTTAAAATGTATTTATAAAATATGTACAAATTGCCAACAGTTTTATTTTACTTCCTGTTAAAAAATAACTAAGGAAATAATTGCAAATTACTGAACCATTAAGATCCCATTTTAACATATTTTGTCACGGAAATTATTTAAATCGAATTTAAATGCTAAAAGACTTGTTGAAAACGTTTAACTTTTTATCTCGTAATGTGCAACTAGAAATAATTATTTACCTGAAATTTCTGCAATAAGTGAGAGCGAATTTTTCAGCAATTTCCGCCGCAAGATCGTATCCAGCTTTCTCCTCAGCAACAAGGGCAAATTCTAAGCGACGTCCAGCAACATCAGCACAGATTTGGCCTGCAACAAAGAGGCAACAATGGCATCCAGCAACCGCAATTGTTCAACAGAAATCAGCAACTTTTAGCGCAGAGCGGCTTATTTGGTCAGCAATTGCAGCAGCAATTTGTTAATCAGGCACACCAGCAGGTAAATAAATCCGCCCATATAAATTCCAGAATTTATGTTAATGTTTTTTAGGGTTTCTTTGGTCAACAACGTCCAAATCAACCAATTTTTCAACAGCCACAAACTCTTCCTACAGCACAAGCTCAGCAATCCAGCTTTCCGACGCCAACTAATCCTAGCAATGTGAACTTTGGCGCAATTCCTCCTACAGGATTTTTGCCAGAAGCTCAAAGAAACTCTGTGGTGTTCCCTTCAATACCACCTTCAATTGGCACACCATCTGGTGTAAGAAAATTTAGTAAATTTTGAAAAAGTTGAAATTGTAGCCCAATTTTTTTAGTCAGTTGTCCAGCACCACACCCAAACCGCCTTTACTCCCAGCTATTCGAACCAAGTCACTCAACGTAATCAGTTTTTGAATACCCGACCAACTGTAGATCCAATTAAAAATATCGAAGAGCAAATTAGGCAATTGGATCCTGAAAAAGATAAATTGAGAATCAAGGTAAATATTTTTGTTTTTTATAAATGGTGATTATAGATATTTTTCTTGCAGGAACTGAGAGATAAGAAGGCTATAATTGAAAAGCACAATCAATTTGTTGAAAAGCAGTATGAGAAAGCTTTGAAAAAAGCGCAACAAGAGCACCAAGAGTTTTTGGATGAACAAAAAGAACAAAGGAAGAAGCTTTATGAGAATTTAATTAAACCATCTGATGAAAGACCTAACTACAGAAGCTCTCAATCCTCACCAAGGTATAATATCCATTATACAATACAGATAAAATATGTATTAATTGTTATTTTGTTATAGGTATATTTATCCTGAAGAAAGCTCCTTATTTGAAAGAGCTTTGAAACAATATTACCGGGAACATCCAACTACTACAACAACCACTACAACTACAACCACGCCCAAACCAACGACAGCTACAACTAAAAAAACATTCAGAAAATCTAATCAGAAGCCTTCATTTTTGCCTACGATTATACCTAGTACAGCTTCACAGTCCCAATCAGCCAAGGTAAAATCCTGCATTATCTTATCGCGAGCTAAATAAGGATTCGATAATTTTATAGATTAAATCAATACAAACATTAGACGACCTCGACGTGCTGAAAAAACAATACAAAAGTCAACAAATCAATAAAGACGACCTTCTAGCTCAACTGAAAGCCGCTATCGGTGGTTCTCTGCAAGATGAATTGCCCAAAAATCTTTCATCCAGAGAAATATCTTTGGCCAATGGCAAAAAAGTACAACTAATTGAAGATGTTGATCCCAAATTGATTCCTCAAGGGAAAGAGGAAGAAATTACTTTACCTAATGGAGATAAAGTTATTGCCATAAGGGCTGATCCAAGTTTGTTGTCCAGGTAAAATTTTACTAATTAAACTTATGGATCATAAATGTTAATTTATTTTGAAGGCCTTCGAAATCAGCAGAAAAAGGAGAGGAAATTACTTTACCAAATGGACAAAAAGTGCAAGTGATTAGAACAAGTAAAAACAATAATATTGGTTCAGGTGAAGAGATCACTTTACCCGATGGTAAGCTATAAACTTATGTTTGATTGACATTTTGACAATGTTGTTTGTGCCAATTTTTCTGATTCTTTTAGGTCAGAAGGCCGAAATATTCAAAACCAGTTCCAGCTCAGCAGCTCCAACGTATAAAACCCAAGAAATAACTTTGCCAAATGGCCAAAAAGTTGAAGTGATAAGAACTACAGATCCAAAATTGGTACCTGGCGGTGTACCATTGGAACCTGGTAGTGATTTGGGTACTTATAATAGCGACTACATTATTAGTTTTGTGAATTCATTATACATTTTTTAGAAAAACTAGTTTTGGCAAAGACAACCACTGTAAGACCTCCGAAGGCGATTTTTGATGAGATAACTCAAAACGATGTCCCACCTGGTACTGATATTGAGATTCTGAAAACAGGTACGCATTTTTCATTCAATTAATAGTTTTTTTATTTAAAAAAAAATTGTATTAGGTGCTAGTGGAAGCCTAGAAAACGCCAAAGCACCCAATAGCCTAACGAGCCAGAAAAAGGTAACATTTGTGTTGCTAGAAGAACAGAGCGATGGTACTCTTAAAGTGCAAGGAATTAAAGGCAATGGCAAAGAAAAGCCCGACGATTTGGATAATATATTGAAGAAAATTAAGGCTGGTGAAATTAAGTTACCAACCACAACAACAACTACCACTGAGAGCCCGAAAATTTCAAGAACAACCACAAGGAAACCAAGCAGCAGCGTATCAACACCAAAACCCATCTCAGTTACTGGTAAGGGAAATAAATTGTTTTCCAAATTGAAGTGAATGAGTCTATCAACACTTGGACTGTATCAATAATTCATTTTCGCATCTTCATTCAATCATCAGAATGTAGTTTTCGCATCGAGAATTTGATCCAAAAGTGGTTTTTGTCGCCATTCATCTTAGGATGATTTCAAACTCTGTCGGAATACGCTTCAGAATGATTACTGGACAAACTCGTAGTTTCGTTTTAGGAATAATATATATCGTTCAGTTACCATCTTGATCTAATAAGTTGTTTGTTCTAACTCGCAGATTTCCCAAAAACATCTGTGCAACTCCTCTTATGATATTTTGGTAAACTTTTGGGTCCTACCTGTTCCTTTGGTAATTTTTTAGGCGCCTGAAAATGTAACTGATTCACTGGCGTATCATGGACGCACATGTTACCTTTTTTGGCTGGGGTTTTTGATTTGTACTTTACATTTTTCTTTTAGTTTTAAAATTGATTTCCTTGATCAATTTTTCAATACAAAAAACAAAATGAAAATCATTACACTTTAACAAGTACCTAATATTTTGGATGGGAAGTAAACTATCATTGGTTATTTTGAAATAGCATATATGCTCCCATAATCCAAGGATCATTTCAAATGTATCTTTCTACAGTGACTCCAAACTCCTTTGCTACCAACGAAGATTATCAAAGTAACCCTACAGCCAACGCACTGAGCAGCTCCCCAACAACAACAGAAGAACCCGCATCTCTTCCAATTTTGACTACAAACATTGGAACGCAGTTCTTGAGTAGTGTCTCACCAACAAGCATTTATACTTCTTCTAGTAGCAGGAGCACCACTCCAAATTCGATTTTTGACTTCAGCAAGGTTAGTAAAAATTTCGTTACTTTTCAATGGTTGATGTAATAGTTTTTTTCTAGACTACCAGAGACTCTTTCTCTACGACATCAGACTTATCCAAACAAGCTTCTTCAATTTCAACTAGCAATCAAAACTCAATTTTATCAGAACCAAATCCAACAGTGTCCACTCCATTTATACCGTCATCATCAGAACAACCTCCAACTGAATACGTGGTCAAGTCTCATGCAAAATCAACTGAGGATTCTCTAAATTTGCCTGAACTTACTACTGTATTAAAATCTAACGGTAATTATAAAAGAATTATTGATTGGTAAATTAATGATTGTTGAAAACTTACAGGTTTATATGCAATGGCAAGATTCCTAAAACAATCTGGACTAGATACAGTTTTAAATGACACAGGACCATACACTGTGTTTGTGCCTACTGATAAGGCTTTTAGAACTTTGCTGGTGCAATTGGGAGGCCCTGAGAGGGCCGAAGAAAAATTCAAAGAGAATCCTAGGTTACTCAGTGGGGTAAGCACCATACCTAAACTTAATCCTAAAATCATATATAATCTTCTTGTTTTAGTTGTTGCTGCATCACGTCATACCAGGTTCATTCTCAATTTCCGATCTTCAAGATGAAATGACCGGAGTATCATTAGCTGGTACCCAATTAAGAGTAAATCAGTACAACATGCACGATAATGAGTGGAATGACGTTAGGGTAACCACAATAAATGGTGCAAGAATAATAGAAGAAAATCAAGACATACCGATACCACAAGGTATTGCTCATTCCATTGATAGAGTCATGTTTCCGCTTCCTGTAGGTGATCTGGTGCAAACCATGCAGGCGGATAGAGAAAGACGTTTCACGTCGATTTTGAGAGCAGTGTATGCGTCAGGATTAGCAGAAATGTTACAAGGTGCGTGTTTTTTTCTCTTTGGATATTTCAAAACTAAGAATTATTATGCTTCTAGGTCCAAAATCTTTAACACTTTTTGCACCAACTGACAAAGCATTTGCCGGTCTCAGCCCTTCGGACCTTACCAAAACAGTGACTGATCCAGCTTTGGCCAAAGAACTGGTACTCAAACACCTAATCCATGGTGCCCTTTATACTAATGGTATGAGGTACTATCAAGTAAAAGATAGTTTGCAAAATGACGCACAAATAACGATAAGTAAACATTCAGGTAAGCAAAACTAATTATCTAACTAGGTACTTTTACTTTTACATGTAAAAATTGGTGAAGCGTGTAGTAAAAAAAAAGTGACGTGTATAAGAGATCAGTAATGTAAACAATAGAGGTGAAAGGATGCTATTATTATTATGAACTAACGACGTATCGATGTCAAATTAAAATGTAACACTCTGGGTTACACCCTCTTACTTTCATTTCGCGAATTTGTTCCTTGCATTTTTTTTTTCAAATAATTGACTTGATGCATTACAAGATTAATGATCAATGAACCGACAAAATTTAAAACGGATGAAGCCAACAGGTTACGGAACTGACGAGAAAAATGTGAAAGTGAAGATGCAAAAGCGGCAGACTCTTCCTTTAAGTTCAATGTCGGTCACCACTCGACCAGATGTGCACCATAATTCTTCTTCTTCATATTTTCAATTATAATGTTGTAATCTTCTTAGGAAGAAAGTGAAACTTATGAAGAAGTCGATGATGATGATGATGAGAATATTAGGTATTACGTAAAGTAACATATTCGCATTATCTTTTGTTAGATTTCAGGTGCGTTTAAATATCAGATTTTATAAGGGTAATGACCAATAATATCAGCGGAAATTGTATTCTGTTCTCATTAAAATTGAACTTTCTTAAATTATTTATTATTTAGTCTGCAAGTAATTATTTTTAGGTAAAACCAAAGTAAACAATCAACATTTGACCACTCCCAATATTCCCGCTACGAATGGAGTGATCCATGCCATAGATGCACTTTTGTGAAACGTCTACAAAATAGTGTCATAAGATTTTTTAATGTAAATATAGTCCATACCTAATTGTAAATAATTTAAATTCAAATTTTTTGATGCTCAAACACATGAAATTATTATTATTTTTTAAATGGTGTGGTAGAGTATGTATTTAAATTATTGATATGCGAAAGATTTATATATCATCTAAGGCTGATTTTTATACAATTTTCTTTGTACGAGGCTATGTCTAATATTGTATTCATTAATTAAATTATTCGTTATTAGTCTTAAGTCGTGTGTAATATAATAGTTAGGTAAGTAACTAATAATTATTATGAATATTTTGTGATGAATAAAAATTTTGAAAAAATGTATCGATATATTAATATTGAACATTAGGTATGATAACTATGATATTGAAGTAATGTAATTTACAAAAAGAAAAAGTAGGTATTGATTTTAATACTGACCCCTGTGGTAGGTAAGTAATGTTTTTTGAGAACTTTTAACTAAAATTGCAAATTTGAGAAAAATGTTGTACCTAATCGATGTAAGTAGATTTTGAACCAATCATGTTTCCACTTATTCTCATATTTGTTCAAGCCTAATAAATCATCGATGAAAAATTCATCGTACCCCACATTGCTTCAATGCGATTTCATCTCTGGAACTATATCTAAGGCCAAATGGGCTGAAATTTTCAGGGATTGTAGTACTCCATTAGGATAAGGATCGCTGAAAATTTCAGCTTTCTATCTATACTCAATAGAATTTGAGATATGAGTTTTGAAAGTTGTCAAGAATCGAAATCATAAGGTTACTTTATAGTACCCAGACACCACAGAGACATCTTAAAGACGCCACTCGATGTCCACAAACAACATTCAAGACGTTTTTCAGATGTCTGTATACGTCTTCAAGGCGTCCTAAGGACATCTTCAAGACATCGTATGTTACAAAACCCAACGCCTTTCAGACGTCTGCCGAAACACATCTTCGGAACTAATATTTCATTAAGTAATTATTATTTACTCATTTTATAACTTTCAATTTTTGTCTAATCCAAACGCTAGGCTCTTAAATTTTTGATTTCTTTTAAACGAAAACATACACAAAATTTATTTTGAAAGAAAAACATTTAGAAGAGCCTGGAGTAAACATTAAAAAACAAATCAAGAGCCTGAAATTCTAAAATAGGTACGGGAATAAAATAATGAGAATTCAAGAGCTTGGAATGAAAAAATTCAAGAGCCAAAAGAAAGTTAAGAATTTCGAAGAAAGGAATAAGGAAAAATCGAGACCCTGGAATAGGAAGAATTATGAAAATTCAAGAATTTGAATTGATTTTCCATATTTCTTTACATCATTACTTATTTTTTAACTGTTAATTTTTGTCTTTTCGCGCTAGACTCTCTGAAATAATTCTAATGAGGTTTTAGATTGTTCCTGCTGGAAAGTGTTGTGGCACGTTCTTAATGGCCTATTGAAGTTCTACAGTGCTCTAACTTGTCTTGAAGAATTTTGGAGCAGATTTTTAAGTACTTAAATAAGAGGTTTTTGAAGCTACAAGTGTTCCAAATTGGTTCAAAAGTGTTCTAAAAAGTTTTCAGTTCTAAATTGAATCCTATAGGCAATCGTTCTGAAATAACTCCGAAGTTTCTAAACTGTTCCAAAATACTCCAGGAAATTCTGATTTGGATTTGAACTGTTTTGGATACGTATTAAATGTTTAAAGTTCTACAGCAATTTGAATACGCTTTTGAACGCCTTTTGTAACTTTTTACCTGAATCCTAAGATTCTGGCGCTTTTCAAAATATTTCTGGAGATTCTAGGATGTTTTGGAGCGTCCTAAAATGGGTTACAAACGTATCTGAATTGTTCTAAAATGCTTTTGAAAATTGTAAATCGGTTTTTGAATGTTATGGAGCTTTCTAAAATGGTTCCAGTTTCCAAATTGTTCTGGAGCGTTCCAGAACGCTTTTGGAAATTCTGAATTGGATTTGAACTTTCTAAACGTCTGCCTAACAACGTCTTCATTACATTTTTCCATTTTCCAAGATATTCTTAAGACGTCTTCAACGAGATGTCTTTACGTCTTTGACTCTCTTTTTAATACATAAAGCATTATTGACTTTTGGACCCGGTTGTACCGTACCAAATAAACTGCTGAAAAAATGAAGCGGAACAAGGGAATTTCTAGTTTAAGTTTGGATTCCGATATTACGCGAACCAAGGAAGAAATCAATGAGCTGTTTGCGTAATTTAAAAGATAATTTAGAGCTAACCTTAACATTCGCTTGTTCCGTTTCATTTGTTCAGCAGTTTAATTTGGCGCAGTTGTCATTATAAGATGTGAATTTACATCTTATGAACGTCTTATAGAAGTCTTTTTTTGGTCTTCAGACGTTCAGACGCAACACAGAATTTCAGAAAGGTCTTCAAGACTGTGCTGTCTGGGTATACATACTAAAATGATGAAATTTCAAATTTTGTATTTCCAGATTTCGTGTTAAAATGGTCATTTGGGACCCCCCAAATTCCATACACTAAATTATTCTGCGATTTGAAGCCGAAATATTTGCAAAAATGAAATTGAAAAATTGAGAAATTCATCTTTTTCAAAAATCGAAATCATAATATGGTGGGCCAAATTTATAGTTGTTCCTTGAGGCTTCCTTGGACGTCGTAAGTTTAGAAGGGACACTTTGCTACCTATTGACAAGTAGTCATGACCAGAGATAAGTCATGTCATGGTCATGTCAATTCTAAACGTCCAAGGCTTCCTTAAGGTCTGAGGAAACCTCAAGGAGCCCTAAAATCATGGACCTAGCCAAGAATCGTAGACTAACGATTGCTCATCCTCATAAGGCTTACGTTCGCCAATTCTTGTGTCGACAGGGCCTGCGAGTGACGTCACCACTATCAGCAGCTTATAGAGGTATCGTCACCGGCAAGCCTCGGTGGGATGCTTGTGATTCAGGCTGTGCTTGTGAGCTAATATTTCCGTCGATTAAGGGCGGGTATTATAAAACTGCTGTGACAGTTAACTTGAAGTTAACTTTTTGAATTACACGTAATTCCAGAAGTTAATAACTTTAAGTTAACTCTCAAAGTAGTAGTAGAAAAGGTGATTTTAGCAAGATTGTAACGTTCAGGAATTCGCTTTTTTGATATTTGAATAAAATCGGCTAATGCATATTTTTAAAGTTACAAGTGACTCAATAATAGTTAGGTAATCGTCATTTGGCTGCGTTCACTAGATACAAACGTTGATAAACGCTTTACGCATGTTGTTTTATTCACCGTTCTGTTGGCAACGTTGTCTGGCTGTTGGTCATCAGAGAATTTCTGTTGGCTTGCCGGTGAGTTAATGGATAAAACAACCGGGTAGAAAACCAATGACCTTAGAAAACTTTCAATAAACGTTCAGACACAAACGTAGTAAATTTAAAGTTTTCATAGGTTAATGCGATCTCCACTTGGTTGGTAGGTATAGTTAAAAACTTTTTTTGTGCAACCGTCTGCGAAATTCAATTTCACTGCCGCTACATTTTACCTGCAAAATATGTCAAATCCATAGAAACGCTGTGGTGGCCACCAGTTATATAGGTATATCAAACTGGTAATAAGTTCCACATTTTGGTTGGAAAGAGTACAGTTTTTATGTAATTTTCATAGTTGCACAAAAAATAGTATGTATACCTAGGGTTGCCTTGCCAGACGTCCCGATTTTAACGGGACAGTCCCGATATTGGAGATTTTGTCCCGTGTCCCGATGGACTATACTTCGGGACGCTAAATGTCCCGATTTCACGGAATTTTTTAAAAAGTGGGAAAAAATTAAAAGTACCTACTTATAAGACACTTATTTTTAAATTGTACTTGTTAAATTATCTATTACTATTATTTATAATTGTCAAGATTCTTTTGGTTTTGACGATAGGAATACACTTAACTTAATGCATTTTATGCACTTTAGGGATTAAAAGTACCCTTCCAATCCCTGTTTTAAGGGGGTAAAGTAGGTCTTTTAATCACCGGGATTATTTTTCACTTTATTTCCCAAGGGATTAAATTTTTACTTTATTTCCCGGGGATTAAATGAAACGCGTTATTTTTAAATTTTGTTAGAAGTTTCATTGTTCAGTTACATTTTATTTCCTTTAAATTAAATTATTCCTTCAATAAAAAAGTGTCCCGATTTTTATTGAAAGTCCCGATTTTTTAACAGCTTTTTGATTGGTATACCCGATTTGTAGATATTTCAATCTGGCAACCCTATGTATACCATGACCGCGAAACTTTTTAGCGTCCTCGAGATTATCTTCAGGGTTGTTCCTGGGAAATTTTCATGTGTGCCTGCAGCAACACTCAAATAGTACCAAATAGTGCCACTTTAATAGCGAATTCCAATGGAAGGGTTAGTGCGCACTGAGTGTATTCATGTCTTTTTCTACCAGCTTGTATAAGGGAGAGATAAAAATTTATATATATTTTTTTTGCACTCATTTTACTAATGGAATTCGCTATAAAAAGTGATGGAAGAGACTTTTTACCAATTTCTTTTTATCACATATTTAAAAGGAGAAAGATATAATTTATTTCATATATTAAATTCACTATAATGTTGTCTGTCTACATAGATTAGGTACAAATTTACATTGTCTACGCGTTGTTTACAACAGAACGTAGACAATCATTATTTACGCGTAGATGCTCATCCCAGGCAAGGATGATACACACTACTACTACAGGATGGCTCATCCTCATAAGGGCTGTGTGTAACAAATCCCCCCCTTCCCCCCAAGCCAAACAACCATTTGTGACGTAAGCAGTATGGCGTTTCTCGCCTTGATGTAGGCTGTTTAAACAGCTGACGACTCAGCTATGACGTCGGCAATGGTTGAAAACAGTTGAAGACCAATATAGCGGCGATTACCAGAAACGTGGCCGATAAGCACTTCTCAGAGTGTGTATTCTCCTTGCATCCGCTGGTGAAAACCACCTTTCCGAACGTCGAAAGCCGGAGTCTCATGCATCCGTTTTCCGACGAAAGATGTCCGAACAATCTTCTATTCTGACATAATCGTATAAAAATATGTCAAAATAGAAGTAGGAAAACGGATGCATGAGACTCCGGCCGAAAACGTGGGATTTTTATCCACACTCCGCCTTTTCGAACGGCAGCTGTGTGTTTTTTTACAACACACCAGGTTCTCGAACGCGTGTGTTTTTTTACAACACACCAGGTTCTCGAACGCAGCCCTGGTATTTCAAAAATTCTATTTATGTCAGCGACATCTAGAAGAACGGAAAAAAGTACTTGTGTGCCATTGTGTGGTTTATTATTAC